TGGTGCTGGGGGATTGAACCGCGGTCCCTGATGCTTTTGCTAAGCTTGTTCTAAGTAGGTGCTTTAGACCACTGAGCCATCTCTCCAGCCCCGATGTCTTTACTTTAAATGGTATTCATATTTTACTTCGATTAACAAAATGGAGCTGGAAGTATAGCTCAGTGGTATGCCACTTATCTACCTTGTACCGCACCCCTCTCTTTCTCTTTCCAGGGGAGGGTTGAAGACTGGTGATCAAAATCTCCCCAGCCCTATCAGTTTTGAAATGCTACAGTATTAAGTTACATCACTTAAGTTTTATGATAGCATTCTGCCCACCTGAAGAACTGTGGAATTAAGGCAAAGCCCCAAGTCATCAACTCAACTACCCCCCATCAAGAGTAAAGGACTGTGTTCCACCGTTGGCTTCTTCCAAAAGTGAAGGGCAAAACCTGTTTATGGATTCATTGTCAAATCACAAGAAGCTGTTGCCAAGGGGTCACGTGGGAAAAGCGAGGCTCCCATTTGACATGGTGATTTGCACTGGGCTCCAGGCCGAGAATAGTCCACATGTGGATTCTGACAGAATACTACAAAGCATGAATAGAACAAACCTCCAGCCCTCCATGTGAGCTGACTTCAAGATCTGCATCTGTGTGAAGCCTAGGAGCTTGGCTAATGCTGTAGTGGTGCTGGTGTGTGTTTGTGTGGCGGGGGTGGGGGGTGGGGGCTGGGGAGATGCCTCAAGGCACCCCTCCAAGCTTCAAGAGGTGAGGACTCTTCTGTGGAGAACCCAGAAGGAAATGACTACTTTCTTCTGACTGCCATATTCTACTCCACATTCCTGTGCTGTGTGCGCCAGGTGTAACGTGCATAGAAAATTGTCTGCAAGTAGCACCATGGGTCCTGCCATATTCTCTTACTCCACGTTCTCCAGTGGCAAGAGTCAAGCCTGTCAAGTGTCCCAACCCCAAATGCACTAGGGGCACTTTCCAACCTGGTCTAACCAGGCCCAGGTTGCAGCAGGACCCCATTTTCTCTTGGCCAATGCCCCCAATCCTGCACTTAACATCTTCAGCTTTCTATTTGATTTCCGTAATGTACCTTCCAGACAGTGACGCTGCCTTCAGGGAACCAGCCTGGATGGATGGAGCAGGAAACAAAACAGCTAGGCCAACTTTTAATGTAATTATGGCTTATTCACAGAACTCTTTATTGGCAGTGGAAAATGCTTCAGTACTTTATTGAAAGAAAGCAATAAATAATACTGTGATAAAAATAGTTCAAAAGTAGACTGTACACTTTGTTACATAATCAGGAAGTTCACAAAAGATTAATAGAAAAACAGAACTGTAACAATGAATTGTACAAGGGAATTGAAAGCAGAAACCAAATGTAAAAAGACATGCTGCTTCTACCTATGTATCAGTTGCATAATAAATAACGCACCATGACCTGACTCCTTCCTTGCTGGCTTTTAAACATGCCATTTAAAAAGTAAGTTACCCTTGCTACTTGTACAATCCAAAATGGCTATAGCATCAAAAGCTAAAAATGACTAGATTCATTCTTTAAGCATGTTTACAAACAAATGTAGAAAAAATGACTTACATATGAAAAATAAGGCCTTTATTAGAGTTGCACAACTATTTTCAGGGTTTTCTGCTTGCATCTGCTCAGGCAGCAAAGTCTGTGAGATGTGAGCACAGTGCTCAGTGATTGGTCCTCGAAGAACAGCTGGAGGGCACCTTCTACCTTCTCTGCTCACAGGAGAGGCGGAGAGAAGGTGCCAAGCGGGGGCTGGCCCCCTGGCTTCTCCAGCCCTGCTGAGAGCGGCTCCCAGCTCATGGCTTCTGGTCAAGTCTCTGAAGACAAGTTTCCCAAGTCCGGGGAAAGGATGAGGAAAGGGGAACAGTGCTAAGGGAGTTTAATAGTGTTCTGGTGTAACTGTTCAGTCTCAATTTTATAGATGCTGATTTCTTGCTAGAAAAAGTACAGTTAAGGTCAGTCAACCTTAAAACATGACAATTGCTCGGAATTAAGTCTGCTTATTTTAAAATGACTGATGTAGAGCTAGGTGAAGGATAATGCACATTGCTTGTGTCATGATGATTTTATAAATGTAGTAAAATCCTTTTCTCTGTCATGGCTTATCATTAAAAATTAAACAGTGATAATTACAATAAGTGCATAATTTACAAAAGCCCTATATTTTGTTCATAGGATTTATACATACAAGCATTACAGTACATTCATTCAAAAGACTAAAATTAGGTATAAGAACATGAATTGATTCAAGAAGATATTTATAGCCTGGATATACATGAAAAAGTAAGTAACTATATAAATGAAAAGTCATAAGCTTACATAAATATAAGAAACATTAAATTCTAAAATATTTTCTCTATGGTATTCATGAATTTTTCACTAATTAAAAACTCTGTAATAAAATATCTTAAGGTCCATATAACAAGTATTAACAGATTAGATTCCATTGAGTTCAAAAATGTAGTCTCTGTTGGATTCAAAATGCTGCATAATCATCTGTAGAAGTAGTGTGGGTAAACTGGAAGATAAAAACAAACAAAAAGCCTCTCTTAATGCAAGTGACCTGCAAAAGTACCATGAATTCAGACCCGCTGCTGGCTCCCGTTTCCCCAGACCTCCTGGCTCCTGGAGCAACACCAGACAGAACACCAAGGACTGCACTCACCAACCAGAGCTCCTTTACTGTCTGCAGTTTTGCAATAGTTCTAAAAGTTAAAATTAAAAGAAAAGACTACAGTGCCGATCCAAGCTTCCAGATGCGGTATTAAACCTGAGAAGAGGAGGCAGAGCTCCAGCTGGGGGGGTTCTGAACGTGGGTCAGTGGCACCTCTGCTGTTAGTTGGAGCTCCAGACCACCAGGACACAGGTGGGCCACTGGAGCCCAGGCACAGCAATGCAGCTCTGTGTTTAAAATGCAATCTCTCTGCTGCGCATCATGGCACATGTCTGCAATCCCAGGATGCCAAAAGGTTAAGGCAGGAGGACCGCAAGTCTGAACCTAGACTAGACAATTTAGCAAGACCCTGTCTCTAAATGCCCTGGGTTCAATCACCAGTACGGATGTATATGTGTGTATATAACAGAGCAAGTCTAGAAGTTGTGTACCACTGTGTACAAACAAAGAAGAAGAGATAATCCCCAATCCCAGGCTCTGGCCTGCTGGTGTCAGTCAGCTGTTAGGAGTTTTTTTTTTTTTTTTTTTTTTTTAATTTTAAAGTATTTGGTACAGTCTCATTATGCAGCTTGGGCTTGTAGTGATGCTCCTGTTTTCAGTCTCCTCAGCCTTAGGATTACAGGCATGCACCACCATGCCTGGTCTCGGTGGCCAGCTCAGCATGCCCAGGGACGGGGGCAGTGCAGCACGTGGTGCCAGGGATAGGACCCTAGTCCCTGCACTTGCTTAAGCAGGTGCTTAGTCTGCTGAGCTATCTCGCTGACCCTAGTCAATGGTTGGTTAAGTGGGGCTTCCTTCCCTCAGCTGCCGTTCTCCTGTCCATCCCCCCCATCAAAGGCATCAGCAGATCACTTAAAAGTGAGCACTCATTTTTCAGCTTTAAGGAAGAAGTGGAAATACATGTTTTTCCTTAAAAATTGGAGGACACAAGGGGAGAGAGGGTAGGTAAAAAGAATTAGGATGTGTTATGTATAGGTACCAACTCCCCATGAATTTAAGTACAACAAACATGTACTAGTAAAAATGAAAGTTAATGAAACAAAAATGAGGACACACTGACCTCTTTATGGTCAACTGTAACACCAAAATCACCTTAACAGATACAAAGCTAGAATGGCCATAATTTTTAAATCCCCAATTTTTAAATTCTCATGGTCTAAGTCCACACTCTTGACTATGTTACAGCTTCACACTACAGACAGCTGTGCCAGGGACGATCTCCAGGGATTATGCTGCTCTCTACTCACCAACAGGAGGCTTTAGCAGGAGTAAGTCCTGACTGTAGCAGAATCCAACCTCTGTGTTCCTGATACACTGCCTGTTCCGACAACCACGAGAGGAAGCGTGCAAACACAGCGTGCAGTTAGTTTTAACACATCACACAGGGCACAGGTAAGACACACATCTCCACAACTACAATGGTAACTACTGAGGGGCCCTCGGGGTGCCTGGCAGAGGGAGGGAGGAGCCATGGCAAGAGCACGAGGGCTGCCCAGAGGTGGTTCTTCCACCACCCAAGGAGCCTGGGGACACTGGCACTTAACCTAAGATCATAATAGAGGACCCTATGATATGAAAACAATTTCAAGGTGTACTTATGCATAAAGGACAACCATCCTACATGGACAGCTTGTATCTCTTTAAACCATGCTTTTATATACTAATTGGACTTTTTCTTCTGCCCAACAGCTGCACCTCCAAGAATGAAACAGGGTGAATCAACAGCCCAGTGAAGGGGAGGAGGGAAAGCCAGCTGTCCTACACTCACTGCTCTCAGGAGTGGGTTGCAGGTGAAGAGGCACAGCTGAAGGGGCCATGACCAACATAACTTCTCTCAGAAGACTAAAGCTTGTCTCAGTTTCTACAAAAAAGAATGGAGAACACTGAGATAGGGGTTCTTATTTGACAAACATTGGGTGTCCAAACAGGTAAGTCCAGCCCTGTCACAAATTGGGTAGAGAGCTTTCAACATCTTTAGCAGACATTCTTACTTCCAGTTGTACAGTGTTTGTTTTCCAACAGGTATACCAGTACTACTTTTTTTGGTCTTCTTTAGACAGGGTCTCACTGTACAGTTCACTTTGTAGCCCAGGCTGGTCTCAAACTTGCAATGATCCTCCTGCCTCAGCCTCCCGAGTGCTGGGATTATAGGTGTGTACCACCATGCCTGGCATAATACCCCAATACTTCTTAGTAACATCCTGCCACAGTTTTAGAAAACACAGCTAGCTGTTGGTGGTGAGATGGGGCAATCACTATAAACTTTCAGTCTAGGAGACATACTGTAATTTACCTCACACTGACTTTCAAGTCACTTAAAACAATCCACCTTACCAAGGTGGGCATAGTTGTCTTTAAATAATATATCCCCTATACCTTTTCTAGTTTATTTTTAATCTATTCAAATTTATTGTTTTGCAGGGTGTATGCCTATAATCCTAGCATTCCAGGAGGCTAAGGCAGGAAAACTCCAAGTTCAAGCCCAGCCTGGACAACTTAGCAAGACCCTGTCTCAAAAATAAAAAAAGGGATGGGGATGTAATATACTGTTCAGGCTCTGGGTTCCATGCCCAGTACCACCAAAAAATCCCAAATCAACAACAAAATAGCCCCCCACTGCCACCAATAAAAATGAAATAAGCAACAAACTCATTAATACTATTAATACTACTCTTTTATTTTTGTTTTGTTGAAATAGGGTCTCCCTCTGTAGGTCACTCTGGCTTTGAAATTACTATATAGTCCAGGTTGGTCGTGAACTCTCAGCAATCCCCCTGCCTCAGCCTCCCCAGTGCTGGGATTATAGGCATGTGCCACACCCAGCTATGTTAATGCTGCTCTTAATGTTTAGGGAGAGAATGTAGTTCTTAAGGGGGAAACAAACTGAAGGTACAGGGAAAACGTGAGTACTCATTTAGACTACTCAGTAAACCAATGGAAATTATTAAGCTGAATGCCAAGTCGCAGCTTATTTATTTATGATGCAAGGTCTTACTGCATAGTTCAGCCTAGCCTTAAATTGGCTTTATGGCCCATATTATCTTCAAACTCTGTGACCTTCCTGACTCAGCCTCCTGAGTGCTGGGATTACAGGCATTGACTTCAATGCCTTGCCAACATTTGTTCCTTGAGGGGAAAAAAATGCTAATTTTTAAGAAGTTGCTAGTTAAGACACATTAGATTTTTTTCTGATTGTATTTTTGAACTCTTAACAAAACACAACTTTGTATAAAAAGTTTCCCTGAGAGCCACCACTAGCAGAAATGTTCATCTTAAAAAACTTTACTCAAACGTACTTTTTTCTGATTTTCATATAGGCAAGAGGAAAAGAAGACTGTACACTGGTACACTTTATATAGCGCAGCCATGTGCATCAGAAAGGAGAATGAATAAAGTCTCCACATAAAAGTGAGACTGTCAGGAATGGCACAGGGCTCAGGACTCCATCAGCTTGACCCAGATGACCCGTTTAATCATCAAACCACAGCACGGTGATGTCCGCTGTGATGTTTCACAGCTGTGGAAACTGAGACACAATGCAGCTAAATGACTGGCTCAAGACTGCACTTCTAGCACCAGAGCCGAATGCGGATCTAGGCTATCTCCTGAGCTCGTGCCTGCCTTTTAGTAGGTGCGCAGAAGATCACATCTACGGCCGTCAGGGACCAGTGGTTATCTAAGGGACATCCTGACCCTAACTGGCAAGGCCACTGCCTTGCCATCTATCCCTGGTAAGGCAGCAGGGCTGACCTAGCAGTTTCCAAGGCTCTTATCTTCTTCCCTGTCCTTTAGATGGCACACATGTAAATATACAGAAAGATAACAGCAGCAGGAAGGAAAAAGGAAAGACAGTTTGCAGAAGCTGGAAGTTGTGTGCTGAAGTTTACTCAGCCATTTTTTCCAGGGTGGGGAGAAGTACAAGGTATCACACTGCAATTTTATTGGCGAGGGCTGGCTGCCACACACTGGAACCCACAGGGACATCAGCCTCAGCCCTGAGAACACAGATGGGGGCTCAGCTTCATTAGTTGGGCAAGTATGCTAACGTTCAACCAGACAAGTTTTTTAAAAATTCTATTTATGTTGTTAACCATTTACAAACAAATGTTAGGGTTAATTCTGAAGCATTTACATCTGGTCATGCAACCAAACTCAGATGCTTTGTAACATATTAAATGGCCACTCTAGGTAATTATTAGCGCATACATGCTCCCAGCAAGTGGTGGGTTACATGGCCCACCACATACCGTCCATCTGCATCTTCTTTGGCTGCATAGAGGGGGAAGACATGGAAGAAGTGACTCGGAAATTTGCAGGGAGTGTCTCTGCTGACCCAGCTGCCAGCCCTCGAATGTCCTTTGGTCTAAACTTCTTTCTCCATGAAGGTGCTCTCCTAAAGCTTTTGTCATCGTCCTGGCAAATTAAAAAACAGAAAAAGTCAAGGACACACTCAGTAAAGGTAACTGTCCTTCAGGATGACCCCTTAACTTATGGTTGTTTTGGTTTAATTAACTCCCAATGCACTGCTGCAATTGGAACTTGAGTGTGAAAGGAAGCATGGTGACATTCCTGCGAGGCCCTAACTGGAGAAAAGAGGACAGTTCCAGGCCACCAGGAATGTGTTCTTCTCAGTCATCATGATGCTTCATTTCTTATCGTGGACAAAGTACTTTCCTGCTATAGAATGCATTATTTTTATTTTCAAAATATTCAAGCTATAAGTAACACTGGCTTATGGTGAATATGCCAAAAAGCATTTCAGAATTAGAGTTAGCTCTTCTATCTTTTTCGTGAAAATCAAGTATACTTGAAGCCCAGTGAAGGATCCTAACATGTGGGAATATCTGAGTTATGATTTTGCACAAGGAAAATTTAATATACTTCAGAAATAAAACTTCCAAACACAGGGATTGAGGCAGGATATTCACTGTCACCAAAATACAACTTAAGACTCTAACCATAGGTGGCAATTTGTTTTATGATGCTAAAATCATTTTTGAGGGTTATCAAAAATTAAATAGTGGTCTAGCAGTACAGCTCAGTGAATTTGCCTGCCATATATGAAGCCCTGACTTTGATCTCTAACACTGAGAAGAGGAAAAAAGCTGAAAACTTACTTCATCAAACCTTCTGTCAGTCCCCATGACCAAAAGGTTGTTAAACTCTCTTTCCAAGACAGCTCGGGCCTGAAGTAACAAAACAATAACTAAATATATCCGAAGAATGCTACTCATTTATTACAATATTTTAAAACAAAGACTTAAAAGACTCATATGCTAGCAACATAAAATAGAAAGACAGACGAAGTAAAAAATCAAGCATTTGCTTATTTTGAACTATCTGAGAGTAGTTATGGAAAGAGCTTACTAGTTGTCTAGAGTTAAGTTTTCTCCCCATTCAAATGAACAACTATCTATAAATGCATGGGGACAGACTCTGGTGTCACCTGTGTATTCTGTGTTGGAATCTGTAACAACAGTGCCAGTGTGTTGAAATCGAAGGTTTCATCTAAGGCCAGAAGTGCACCGTGAACACCACTCTCTATGAGATTGTTTGCATATTCTTTAAGGCCAATAGATAAGATCCAGCGAATCACTCGATCATTGCTCCAAACAAGCACATCTGTGAAAGAGCAGAGCAATTGTTAATGCGGCTTCAGAAAGCCTCATCACACACATCCTATAATGCCAGGGCAAGATTCCTTCCTAGCAGTGATCCTGATCCTTCAGTTCCTGAAAAGACTCCATCCCCACAAGTACTGGCAGACACAACATCTACATATAGGTGTTTTGGCTCTGCCTCACTGTAACAAAAACTTCCCCTGTAGGACTCCCTTCCAGTGGACAAAGGGTTACAATAAGATACATAATATGATATATTCAGGGAACAAAACAGGATGTTTGGTTGCAGATATAGCTCAGTGGCAAAGCACTTGCCTAGTATACAAAAGGCCTGAGGTCCAATTCCTAGCACTGCAAAAAACAAAGAACAGGTTGAGGGCCCGTAGACAGAATGCAGAAGAATGTAAGAATCCAAACACCTGCCACATATAAGCAAGTTTCCTACATAGAACTCAGAGACTCCTGGAACACTTCTCCATCACAAAAGGATCAGGGACAGTGACAATTCAGACACCTTGTTCAGGTCAATACAAACCCTTTGCTTCTAATTTTGAAGATTTTGTCACCTTAAACATCTTAACATTTCTCTCATTTTAAAAAGACAACTTTAAAGACATTCTCTAACATACTAGAGACTCTGGAGATCTTAATGCAAATAAAATTATTAAATTTACTCTAGTAGAGACCTAAAAGAAGTCATTCTAAAAATATATCCAATCACCAAGCCTTTCAAGACAACTTCTGCCAACTGAAGAAATATGTAGAAGGGACACAAAAAACAAATTAAATCGATTAATGCATTTCATTTCTGATTTTCTTTTCTAAATAAACCTCAACCTGTTCTTTATTATTTTCAATGCTAGGAATTGAACACCAAGTCCTTGTACATGTTAGGCAAGCACTCTACCACAGGGCTACAACCTCAATCAATCATCCTTTTATTTTTTTTGGCGAAACCAGGGATCAAACTCAGGACCCTGAGCTTGCCAGGCAAGCATTTATTCTACTGAGCCATCTCCCCGACCCCCATCCTTTTATTTTGGAAAAGGACATGAGAATGAAGATGAAAATAACACAGAACCAAGACGCAGTCTGAATAAATCAAGCATGGAAGGCTTGACACAGTGCCTAATACTATGCACTATTTAATAAGCCTTGCTTCTTCTCACTGTAGTGCTATTAGAACTTCAAAGAACTGCAGGAGATTCTTGAGCATGACACTCAGTGTTGGATTCAGAGGGAATGCCTGTCCCACGGCAATCTGAGGGGTGCTGCCATGCCCTCTTATACTTCCTAGCCTGTCTCTTATTGACATGCCTTTCCCTTGCCCACAGGACACTCTGCACCTTCTCCATGGACTGCAATCCCAGTTACTAAGGATGCTGTGGCACACAGGAGGATCGCAAGGTTAAACCCAGATCAGGCAGGCAAACTAGTGAGATCATCTCACAAAGCGGGGGGTGGTGCTTGCTAGGCTGAAGGTTGCCTGGCCTCTGCCTCTCTCTCTGGAAGCAGAGCTGCAAAGTGCTCTGTGTTCTGCCATAGCCCTTGGAGAAGGCCTCAGAGCCATGAGGCAGCGGCTTCTTTACCTTGCTCTGATCTAATAGTATGGGACAGCATCTCTGAGAGTGAGTGCATACAGGTTACACTAACAAAAGGAAAACCACATGGAATAATGCCAGCCCCAAGATGGGCAGCCTAACAGACTGAGATAAGCACACACTCCCTCACGGCATTCCTCTCATCCCTCCTCTTGTTACCATGCCAGGCCAGTTGTTTCCACTTAAAGAGTTTCCCTGAATTTTTTTGTGGTACTAGAGACAGAAGCCAGGGCCTTGCACATGTTAGACAAGTGTTCCATCACTGAGTTATAATTTTAGCATCCCCATTTTTAAAATCTAGTTTTAGTTTTTTGAGACAGGGTCTGGCCCTGAATTTGTGATTCTTCTGCCTTAGGACTCTTAGTAGCTGGTACTGCAACTGTTTGCCACCTTTCCTGTACAAATACGTGGTTATTTTGCTTTTGTTTTTGCCGTACTAGGGATCAAATTCTACCCAAGAGTGCAATGAAAATTTTACATAAGTGCCTTACCACTAAGCCTTTTTTTTTTTTTTTTTGAGGTACTTGAAAATAAATGCAGGGCTTTTGTACTGAGCTATATCTCTAGCTCTTCTATAATTTTTATTTTTTAAATAATTTGTATTTTAAGAGAAGGTTTTACTAATTTTAAGTTGCCTAAGTGAGGCTTGAACTTGTGATTCTCCTACTACAGCCTTCTTTGAGTGCTAGCATTATAGGTATGTGCCACTTCAGCTGGCTCCTACATTTTTAAAAATAGGCAATCAATGAAGCTGCTTGGCAGGCAGCAGGCATCCATCAAGCACAAGGTACTTGCCTTTTATTTCATTCTGACTTTCTTCTCTTTTTCTTTCCAGTTCTTTTCGATCATAATTTAACCTTCGCAAGCACATAATTCCACACTGGAAGCTGTTTCTATTTACAAAAATAAGAGATTAAATGTGGCAACTGTGAAGTCTCTTGTTCTATTAGTAAGACCCATTTGCAGTAACTCACCTGTGAAAACTGTCGACCATTTTCAGCTGTCCCCGCAGGTCTTTCTTGGTCAGGTGGTCCAGCATCCGGGCATCCACAAGGCATTCCATGAAGTAGCTACGGTACTGAGGGAGGCCCAGGCTGGGCAGCCACTCATTGCCAATCCACTCATGGTTCATGTCTCCATATGCAAGTGTCTGGTTTCAATAGATGGGTGACATTAGTTCAGTTTTTTAATCTAGACAGTATTCTCAAAGGCTAAATTAATGACAACATTGCTCTTTATAATTTCTGAATAATGTTTTACCATTCCTGCCTTTAAATCATATCAAAATTTTGACTCATGATAAATTTATTTACCAATGAATAGTAAAATCATAATTGACTACAAATTCTCTTTCCAGTTTTTAATGCAACAAGAACAAAGAATGATCATCTCATGAACAAGTTTGAAGAATCAATTCAAATCATTAATACGAGCTCTAGCTGGTTTTGATTTTATTTTTAATACTTTCTTTTTCTACAGGACATGTGTATTTTAAAATCAGTAAATTCAAAAAGATAAACCAACAACTAATAAAACTAAGTATAGGGAGCGGGGAGATGGCTCAGTGGAATAAGTGCTTTCCTGGCAAGTGCAAGGGTCTGAGTTCAATCCCGGTTCCACAAAAACAAAACAAAACAAAACAAAAAAAGCCAAACAGTATAAAAACAGAAACACAAATTTGCAAGACTTCACCACTCCTCTCTTTATAACTGGTTGGACTAGCCAATTAAAAGAAAAGGAGGGCCAGGGAAACAATTCAGTGGCATAGTGCTGCCTGGGAAGCCCAAGGTTATGAGTTCAATTTCCAGTATCAAAAAAAAAAAAAAAAAAGGAGCAAGAAAAGGAAAAAATTTGGGAAGGATATAGACTAAAACAATACTATCTATTCATTATTTTTTTTCTGTACTTTAGGGAAAGGTCTACAGAGTGTTCAGGGTCTACTACATTGGACTCATAGTGATCTGCCTGTTTACAGCCTCCTAAACGCTGGGATTACAGGTATGCATCCCCACACCCAGTCTCAATCACCATCTCAGTGCACCCTAGGGGCATGGCTGGCTTTGCAGGCCCAGGGATAAAACCCTTGGTCCCTGTGCCTGCTTGCAGGTGCTTTAATCTGAGAAGCAACCTAACCTAGATATATCTTATAGAATACTTCACCCAACTTTTTGAGACAAAAGTTCCACAATATTGCCCAAGCTTGAGTGTAGTGGCCATCCATAGGCACTCCCCAAGCAGGAAGGTCACCATATTGATACCAATCTTAGTATAAACACTCAAATGTCATAGGACATTAAAGCATCCAACTGGCAACTGACCTTTCTGTCTCAGCCTCTTAAGTATTTGTGACTACAAGAGTGCATCATCACATCTGGCTTCAGGATGTACATTTTTTTTGTCTGGTATGGTGGTGCATGCCTGTAATCCCAGCACTCAGAAGGCAGGGGCAGGAGTGTTTTCATTTTGGGACTAGTCTGGACTACATGAAAAATGAAGCATCATGTCAAGTGGATTTACTGTCTCAGAAATAGGTTGGGTCAGTAACTATGGGGTGGGGGGAACAACCAATGAAATTTACCCTATCAAAAGATCAACAAAGAAAACTATAATATCTCAATCACATGTGACAAGATTCATCATTCATTTATGCTATTCTTTGCATTCTAGGAATGAAAGACTGTGGCTGGGGAGATGGCTCAGTAGAATAAGCGCTTGCCTGGCAAGCACAAGGGCCTGAGTTCAATCCCCAGTTCTGTCAAAACAAAAAAAGAAAAAGAAAAAGAAAAGAAAGACAGACAATTGCCTTAGTCTGTGAAAGGCCATCTACAAAATGCTTGAAGCTAACATATTCCTTAGTGATGAAGGGCTGACTGAATGCCTCCCTGAACAGAAAGCAGCAAAGGCGGTGTCCGCTTTTCACTGCATATATGCTGCAATACTGGCCACTGTAAGGTCAGGAAAAGGACATAAAGAGGCTATGAGTTGGGAAAGAAATAAAGCTCTATGAGTAACTGACACAATGAGCATACAACAGCTATTAGGATTTATACATGAATTTTGCAAAGTTGCTGGGTATCATGAATACACAAAAATTAGCTACATTTCTAAATGTAAAAAATGAACTGGAAATTAATTTTTAAAAATATTTATAGGGCTGGGAAGATAGCTCAGCGGTATAAGCACCTGCCTGGCAAGTGCAAGGTCCTGAGTTTGATCCCCAATACCAAAACAATAAGTAAAAATTAAAAAAAAAATGTATATATGCACTACACCCCATAAAATCTTTTGGGATAAGCCCAACAGAATATGTCCATGGTTTGTACAAAATACACATTACATACAACTACATAGCAGATAGTGGTTCACTATGTTCTTTAGCTAAGGAAGATTAAGTTATATTCGCAAGAATCCTAAGGTACATTGAGATTGAGGAATCCTTGAAAATAAAACCTAACAGCCACCAACCAACCTCCCCTGGATTGAACCCAGGGTCTCACATGTTAGGTAAGCACTCTAACCTGACTTACCTCACCAGCCCTTTATTTATTATTTTACAACCCAGTGTACCACTGGGTTGCTTAGGTTGGCCTCTATCTCGACTTCTTCCTGCCTAAGCCTCCCAAGTAGGTGTGCCAACCACATTTGGATCCATGTTTGTCTTTCTTTCTTTTTTATTTATTTATTTATTATTATTTATTTATTTTTTGTTTGGCGGAACCGGGGATTGAACTCAGGCCCTTGCGCTTGCCAGGGAAGTGCTTTATTCCACTGAGCCATCTCCCCGGCCCCTCTTTCTTTCTTTCTTTCTTTCTTTCTTTCTTTCTTTCTTTCTTTCTTTCTTTTTTTTTTTTAGACAGGGTCTCACTATGTAGTTGAGGCAGGCCTTGAGCTTACTACATAGCTCAAGCTGGCCTGAAACTCATGGTGATCTTCCTGCCTCAGCCTCCCAAGTGCTGGATTACAGACATAAGCCACCATGCCTAGCGTCCATGTTTGTTTTAGAACAATGTCTTCTGACCTAATTTGTTATTTGTTCCAGTCAAGATGTAAGGGATGACTCAGCTAAGAATTCAAATTCTTGGTTTTTTTTAAATACAGGGTCTCACTTTCAGCCTCCCCAGCACTGGGATTACAGGTGTGTACCACCACGCCTGGACTCCACTGCCTGCTCAGAGTGTGCCTGAAGGCAGAGCCGGAGAGGCACATGGAGCATCCCAGCCCTTTTGTTTGCCTAAGTAGGCATTTAGTCCACTGAGCTATCTTGCCAGCCCTAGAATGCTGACATTCTAAAAGAAAAGGTTTCATAACTTTCTTTAAATGATGAGTGAGAAACACACCACTTGGTTAACCATTAAGATACCTAACAGTCTTACCATGATTCGGTCCTTCAATCCTTTATTCTCATGGGCTTCGTATTCATAGCCTGAATATTTGATGTTTTCTGGTCTGCTGATTATGTATCTTTCAATGAGCAGAAGAAGGAAAGAACTTTTCCAAGTAAAAAAATTGCGCAGAAGCAGACTCTCCAGATCTCTGTTTACTCAATAGTATATTTGAGTATACTGTGTATACTTTTGCAGTTACTGATAATGTGGATACCAGCAGCTCAGACTCAGTTTTAGGGAAGGCCTCCTCTCAGGGCCGCCTCCACCACCTTCTAAAGAAGTGCACAAAGGTTCTCACGCTCTAAGCACAGGGAAATCAATCCCAGCCTCAAGCTCACTACAGTGTGAGCTCCAGGAGGAGACTCTAGCTGCCCTTCTCACTGGCAGGTGGCACAGTCTCCACACACAGCCAGTCTCCTACCTTACATCTGTTAAGCGAACAGTTCTGATCACACCTCAGTGTTTCTTCCCAGGCTTAAATCTCCCCTTAAAGAGTCAAGCCACTCAATGCCAGCACAGGGAAAGCACAATGCACAGCTCTGTCCTAGCAGCTCCATCTGGGAGAGGATGGTGGGAAAGTGCACCAAGCTTCTGCGGGACGCTGCATGTGGGTTAAATCTGGAATCTGCTGCATGGCCCCTTCTTATACTTCCACTGCAGAAAGCAAATGCTAAGCTTATTTAATTACACTGTTATGTCTCTGATGCTGGCTATTTCACACTGAAGCAGTGACCATGTTCTACTTTTTCATGTTGAATATATTGAAGCTTATGTAATTACGAAATGCACTGTTTAATTCACTGATTGATGGGTCATTATTGGTCATGAGGCCTTTAGGTTAATTTAGGTGATTTATCTGGAGGCACAGAGTACATAAACCCAGGCAAGGAAACCCATTTAGTAATTATCCTCTTTCTTCTTTTTTTTTTGTAGTATTTAGTATAGGGCCTAGAGGGTCTCACTACACAGACCACACTCATAGTGATCCTTCCTGTTTTTCAGCTTCTCAATGGCTGAGATTACAGGCACGTGCCACCACACCCAGTCTCAATCCCTGTCTCAGCGCGCCCCAGGGTGGGGCCAGCATGGCATGCTGGGGAATAAACCCAACCCCTGAGTCTGCCTAAGCAGGTGCTGTAATCTGCTGAACTATCTGGCCAGCCCCTTATTTTTTATTTTTTAACCTTTTTTTGTATTTTTGAGACAGAGTCTTACTTTGTAGTCCAGGCTGGCCTCAAATGTGTAGCAATCCTGCCTCAGCCTTTCTAGTGCTGGGATTATAGATGCGTGCCACTGTGCCTGGCCTCTCTTCCTTTTTAAACAAACAAAAACCAAAACGACCAACCAGGTGATATAACTGACTACTCACTCTTTAGAAGTGGAAACAAATAACTTTCTCAAGCATCATCTTATAATCCAGAAAATTCTAATCTGAAGTTATTTATAAGTGTTTTCAGATGTACGCAAACTCTTCTGAGCCCCTAGAAACTGTGCCATTGTAAAAAACTCAAGAACTACAAGTCCCTCTGAACTGCACTGTGTCCACAGAAGGCCCACAAGGGCAGAGAAGCTGGGAGTTTAATCAAATCATCCTAACGCAGAGGCTGGAAAACAACTGGGGCCGAGCTTTCTGTGAAGTGAAGAATTAGGGAGTTGAAAATTTCAATCTCCACGCAGTGATTGAGCAGCTTAACTTCTAAGAACTCTACCAAGAAGATCTCTAAATCAACACAGTAGTAGGACAGTAAAACACCAATACAAAAATAAAGGAAAAGGCCCTATGCCAACTTTCAGGTTTGGAAGTACATATCATGATTTTTTTCACCAGTAGATCTTACAACTAAAACTAATCCAGCAGGAAGCTACATGTACATAATCTCTGGAGCTGCCTAATCCAGGGGACTTCGTGTAGAAGATTCTATTAATAAATACAACTCATGTTAATTAAAAGTAACTTTCATGACTTCGTATGAGAAATGTTCAAAATTGTCCATGAGATGCACTCTTTAATCCTGTGCATTGCCTGACTGATGCTTGAAGTCATTAACAATACTATGAATAAATTAAGGTGCAAAAAACATCCACTAAAGCAAATCACACAAGTTTACATACTCAATTGCTTTTTGTTGCTACAGAGTGAAGAAATATTATAGAAAGACTCCAACCTGAGCCCAGCTTCCCTCCTCATCTTCCTGATGTTAGGTGGTTAGGAATGCAAAAGAACATAACTATTAGTATTAGTGAACTTCAGTAGTACAAGCAAATTAACTCTTCAGAGAACATACATCTTGACTGAATGAAAAATGTTCAAAATATGAAAGCATCATGCAAAATTCATGCAAAACAATTTCAATTTTCCATGCAAGGAGGTATTTTCCATGCCAAGCAGACTTGTAAAGGAGAAAGTTGGGGTTAGGCAATCATAGTAGAGTGCTCAAAGGCTGTACTTTCAGCAATCATTTCCATAGTATGTTACAGTAGGGTGCTCAGTCATTGGTCTCTCCAAAAGGAGAAGCAAATTACATCTCCTCTAAATGGGGCAAATCTACAAACTAAGTTCCTATGAAGTATCTTAAAAATCCAAATTTGATTCTACACAATAACCTAAAAAATACGTATTCAAAACACATGAATGCAAAATAACTTTTGTTTTCAACAAAAGGCAAAGGACCCAATCAGTCTGGAGTGGCAAATGCACTTCAGAGCACAAGCTGTGGGGCTGACTGACCGTTTGCGGTGTGGCTGCGAGCGTTTCCATCTCTTCATGTGTTAACCACACATTTCCTGTGGTCTAAGGAGACCCCAGTGCACCAGCCACATCCAGGGTAAGGGAAGCATGACAGAGAGGAGAGGGGTACAGATATAAGCCACAGGCACACAAGAGCCTTGAGGCAAAGGTCACTCTTTGCACATTTTCATTTCAGACACAGAGAAAATCAGAGATCATTAACAGAAGCTCATCGCCTTTTACACAATAACCTCGCCTTGTTAATAGTGTTGTTGGAACACAAGGGGAAAGCACAGGATTTCCAGAGCATGCTGACCAGTATGTATGAGAGAATACACTTTATACTTCTGAAAGCGTTTCTTCTCCAGTAACTGATGATTCAATATACAATATTTACAATGGCCTCACCATGTTGGAGGTGTAGCTCATGACAAAAATGCCTGCCTGGCTCTCCCAAGGCACTGGGTTTGAGGTTCAGTATGACAGAACAGAACAGAACAGAACAGAACAGAACAGAACAGAACAGAACAGAACAGAACAGAACAGAACAGAGCAAAACAACACTCAGAAAGTAGTCTCAGGCTGGTGAGATGGCTCAGTGGTCTAAAGTACCTACTTAGAACAAGCTTAGCAAAGCACAGGGACCGCAGTTCAATCCCCCAGCACCAAATGCCAGCCAGCCCCGCCCCCTGGTGGGCTGAGCTGGCCACACACACACACACACACACACACACACACACACACACACACAAATAAATAAATATTAAAAAAAAATAGTAGTCTCACTGAAACACAGGCTAACAACAAGAAGCTCACACCTGGGCCCTCTTAGGGCTCCTTTCAGCACATGATCCAAAGCTAGCGGGAGCCCAAGAGGTCAGGGTACAGGACAGTAGCCAAAGAAGAGCCAAACAATGCAGATACCAAATACTGTGTCACCACTGGCGCCAGACATGAGACTGATGGCCACCCACTGGAGCTCCCCAGGGAAGCTGTTTCTGCGTTTGTACCTGTTGGTTTCTAGAATCTCCCTGATGTGAGTTCTAGTCCTCACTCATAGTTAAACTGAATCACAGAAATTCCCTTTTGGAAAAGCGTTCTTTTTTTTTTTTTTTTTTTTTTTTTTAATTTTATTTTTTTTACCAGGGATCAAACTTGGGACTTTGCACTTGCCGGGCAGGCGCTTATGCCACTGACCTATATCCCCAGCCCTGGAAGAGGATCCTTAAAAGCTTTGGAAAAGCCACACAGTATCCTCATTTCTAGAAGGACCACAATAATGTCAAGACAGTTGGAGAACAGATTGATCCTGGTCACAAAGCATTCTACCAGGAAAATAGTTCTCTTAGCTACAGGTAAACAAAAGCTTACTGTTTATTTTCCTAATTCTCTAACAATACAATCTCAACACTTTTTCTTGTGTGTAAAGTTACTGTGAGC